GGGCGGTGTCTCCTGCCCGCCTTGGGCCGAGTCAGGGACGCCGGGGCGGCACCGGTGCCCCCAGCTACACAGGGGAGGGGCTGATGGTCCCTCCTGCCTCTCGACTCGGAGAGAAGTGCCCCCCCCCGCCCCGTCAGAGCCCAGCGCGAGCAGGGGAGAGGCCGCGTCTGCCCCAGGCCTTCCTGCCAGCCCGGGGTTTTTGGCCACCGTCTTCATTGTGTCTTTCCCCTCTTGGGTGTGACAGAAGCACCTCAGCAGGGTTTGCTGGGCAGGTGAAACAGTGAAGGTAGCTGCAGTACAGCCCTGTCAAATGCACAAAATAAACCGGAACAAAGAGAAACTGTTACAGCAACTTCGGTGTTGCCTGTGCTAAAACCAGTGAATGCACTTACAGTGTAACTTTTTAACCTTGTTGACCCTTTATAACTAATCGAATATTGAGGTCCAGTAAAAGCTTTGGATTTGTTCTATAGCCATTGAGTGTGATAGTGCTTTTATAATAATATAACAGAGGACAAGCATCCATTATATGCAAAGTAATATTTCACGTTTTTCCACAGTTTATTTGTGGAATAAAATTGATACTGTTTAATCAAGCAACACGAAGAATAAGCTCCAACATGTCTGATTCCAGCAAGGTTGAAGAACAAGAGTTAGAAAAGAGCTTAGTTGAGGAAGCAGACAGAATAATTTCTAAAGCTTCAGAGGCAGAGTCTGCTGTCAGTTTGGATGAGGACAATACAACATCAGCTAAAGAGCAGGATGCTGGAAATGAAAAGGAAGATGTTAGCGGTCATCAGGACACAACATCAAAAAAGAGAAAAGCAGAAGATGAAGATGAACCTAGAGAAGTGGTGAGTATAATCTGTTTTCAGTTTTGTCTGAACAATAGGCAAAGACTGAAATGTTTTGGGGCACGTGTTTACCTAAGTACATTGATCATTAAATTATTTATATCAAGCATTTTACAGTGTATATTTATAAGATTGTAGCGGCTAGTGTCTCATGAACCGCTTGACCTAAATTTTAATTCTGAATACAGCTTTTTTAATATAACAGCAGGTGCTAAAATTACGTTGGAACTCAAGGAACTGGGAAGAAAGATAAATAGAATGAGAGGCTTTAAATAGTCTAAGATCTGTCAGGGCTTGAAATGAGTACTCTATTAAAACAATCAGTTTGGGATTTGGTGGTTGTTGACATGTCCAGATTTAAACTGTTACTGCTTTCATAGTTTAGCAGTGTGTAGTTTTACAGGATTTTTAGAATTGGTACAAGTCTGAATAAGTTGTGTTGAATTCTGAAGTAGGAATGTAATACAGGCAGTCCCCGAGTTACGCGGATCTGACGTCAGATCCGCAGTTACGAACAGGGATTTTTCTCGCCCCGGAGGACTGGAGCAATTGGACGCCTGGTCCCGCCGCCTGCC